TTAATTACTGAGAAAACTTCAATGGCTTTCTGTTACTCTTATGATAAAACCAGCATTCTTAAAATGGCCCATTAAGACCTTGCATAAACTGCCCTTCATATAATATGCATATAACAAATTATTATTAATTGCTTACTATTAGTTATAAGCAAAAATATATCCAACTCTTGCCCTCAATAAGCTTGTTGATTAGAAAAGGAGAAAGGTATCAATCAAACAATTCTACAATCGAATATAAAAATGCAACCGTGACCAGTATTAAAAAGTCCGTAGAGCTTTGTGAACCTATAATAAGGGGGCTCAATCTAGGCACATAGGTGAAAGAAGGCTTGATCAATGCCTGAAAATTTTGAGCAGAAATCTAAGGAAGGATTAAGAGTTAACTAGATTTAAAAAAATTTAAAAGACTGCTCCATTAGAGTACATCATCAACGTTCAAAGCATAGAGAGGAGATTATTTAGATCCTTTACAGACAGAAAACATACTTTGTATAGTTCTATTCATTTATATTCGTTAAGACTCATTTTATGACTCAAAACATGGGGTTGTTTGACTGCTTAGTGTGCACTGGGAAAGAATGAATATTCTGTTGTTAGGTGCAATGTTCTATCAAATATTGTAAATGGCTTACTGAAATCTCAACCAGGACTATAGACTTATTTCTCCTTGCAAATCAGCCAGTTTTTGATTCATGTATTTTGATGGTCTCGTATTAGGTATGCATAAACATTTATGATGATTAAGTTCACGTGAAGAATTGACCTCTCTATAATTACGAAATCACTTTTTTTATTTCTGGTAATATTTTTTCCTCTGAATATACACATATACAAGCTTACCTTAGAGATATTGTGGGTTCAGTTCCAGACCACTGCAATAACGTGGATAACACAATAAAGCAAGTCACAAGAATTTTTGGTTTCCCAGTGCATTTAAAAGTTATGTTTACATTATACTGTATTCTATTAAGTGTACAATAGCATTATGTCTAAAAAAACAATGCTCATAACTTAATTAAAAATATTTTATTGCTAAAAAACGCTAACCATCATCTGAGTCTTCAGTGAGTTGTAATCTTTTTGCTGGTAGAGGGTCTTGCCCTCCATGCAATATCTGTGAAGCACAATAAAGCAAAATGCAATAAAATGAGGTATGCCTGTATACTAAAATAGTCACTCCCACATTCTTTTAATTAGTATCAGCATGGAATATTTTTTCTACCCTTTTACTTTTATCTCTTTGTGTCTTTATATTTAGTACATTTGTTATTATAATAGTTTTGCTCCTGTATCCAATCTCATAATCTTTGCCTTTTGTGTATTTAAGGCATTTACATTTAATGTAATTATTCATATAATTAGGCTTAAAGTCTATTATTTTTCTATTTTTTATTTCTCTCATCTCTTCTCTGTTCCCCTTCTTCCCTTTTTTTGCCTTCTTTTGAATTAGTTGAGTATTATTTAGATTCTGTTTTACCTCTTTTATTGGCTTATTAGCTATGACTCTTTACTTTCTTATTTTAGAAGTTGCTTGCATTAGTTATCTATTGTTGCACAACAAATTACCACAATTTAGCATCTTAAAACAACACACATTTGTTCTCCCAGTTTCCATACGTCTGGCTTTCAGGCAGTTTCTGTGGACAGGATTTTACATTCTTCTCAGGGTCTTACAAGGTTGCAATCAAGATATTAACTGGGCAGTATTCTTTTCTGGAGTCTCAATTAGGGAAGAATCTGCTTCCAAGCTTATTCAGATTCTTAGCAGAATTTAACCTCTTGTGGTTATTTGACTGAGGGCCTCATCTTCTTCCTAGCTATCAGCTAGAGTCTATTCTCAGCTCCTAGCCATCACCTACAGTTCCTTGCCACGTGATTCTCACCACAGGTAGTTCACAATACGCCTGTTTGCTTCTTCAAGGCCAGGAGAATCTGTGTCTCTACAGTTATGGAGTATCATTTAAGGAAATGGTATCACAGGAGTGACATGCCAACACCTTTGCCTAATAAGTCGTTTAATCAACAGAATGATATCTCATCACCATTACTATACTTTATCACTTAGAAACAAGTCATAGGTTCCACCTGCACTCAAGGAAAAGATTAGACAAGGGAGTGACTCATTGGTGGCCACACTGACACCAGTGCTTAAGAGATTATAGTATACAGCTTTAACATCATAGTCTACTTTCACCTGATATACAGCTTTACATCTACTGTAAAGATATATAATTTACTTTCTTTTCTTTTCTCTTGCACTTTGTAGTACATTTTACTTTTGCATATGTTATAAATCCCACATCACATTTTTATTGCTATTTTTATTGATACAGTTCATTCATTACCTTTTTTAAAAGGATTTAAATACTAAGAAAAACATATATATTTACTCATGTAGTTACCATTCCTGGTGATTTTCATTCCCTTGTATACATTCAGATTTCAATCTAATGTCGTTTTCCTTCTGCCAGATAGACTTCTTTCACATTTCTTGTCGCATAGATCTGCTAATGATAAATTCCTTCAGCTTCTGTATATCTAAGTGTCTTTAGTTAACCTTTATTTTTGGAAGATATGTTTCCTGTATATAAAAATCAAAGGTTACTTTTTTGTTTTTATTCTAACAGTACTTAAAGAGGTTGCTCCACTGTCCTGTTCCATTGTTTCCAACAAGAAATTTACTGTAATCTGGACCTTATGTTTATTTCTCTGTATGTAACATGTCCCTGCCCTGCCCCTAGCTGCTTTTAGGTTTTTCTCTTATCAGTGATTTTAAGCTATGTAATTATGTTATGTATGCCTTCGTATAGTTTTCTTCATGTTTTTTGTGCTTGGGATTTGTTGAGCTTCTTGGATATGTGAATTTATAGTTTTCATAAAATTTCAATATCTTTCGTCATTATTACTTAATTTGTTTTTGTCCTCTCCCCTTGCCTCTCCTTCAGGGACTCCATTTACAAGTATACTAGGCTGTGTGAAATTGTCCCATAGCTCACTGTCGCTTTGCTCTTTATGTTTTAATTTTCTGTGATTCGTGTTAGTTTCTAATGCTATGTCTTCAATTTCATTTATCTTTTATTATGCCCTGTTTAATCTGCGATTGATCCCATCTAATTACATCTATCACATTGTAGTTTTCACCTCTACAAGTTTGATTTGGGTCTTTATTATGTTTCATATCTTTGATTAACTTTTTAAGTCTTTTATTGAGACCCATTTAAAGTGTAAATCAAATGGCTTTTTGTATAGAATTGTGCAACCTTCCCCATAATCTAATTTTAGAACATTTTCATTTACCATCCAAAAGAAATCCCATGTCCATTTGCAGTCCCTTCCCATACACTAGCAACCTCTCCTCACCCCCTGCCAGCCCCTCGACCAGGACAACCACTAATCTACTGTTTCCTTAGATTTGCCTAATCCAGACATTTCATATAAATGGAATCATACATTATGTGCTCTTTCGTGAGTGATTTCTTTCACATAACATGTTTCTGAGGTTCATCTATGTTTTAGAATACGTATTAGTACCTCGTTCTCTTTTATTGCTGAAAAATACTCCTTGAACTGGATGTAGATTTTATTTTTCCATTCACCAGCTCACAGGCATTTGGGTTGTTTCTATTTTTGGGCCCTTATAAATAATGATGCTATGGACATGTGTGTATAAGTTTTTGTGTGCACGTTTTCATTTCTCTTCGATATATACCTAGGAGGGGAATTGTGGCTCATACAGTAACTCTACAGTTAACATTTTGAGGAACTGTTAAACTGTTTTCTAAAGCAGATGCACCATTTCACATTCCCACCAGCAACATGAGCATTCTACTTTCTCCACATCCTTTTCATTATCTTTTTTATTACAGCTCTGGTTATCTTTTTGAACATATAGAATATAGTTATAAAAACTGGTTTAATGTCCTTGTCTGTCCATTCTAACATCTATATCTGTTCTGATCAGTGATTGATTCTCCTCCTCATTATGAGTTTTGTTTCCCTCCTTTATTGCAAGTTTGGTAATTTTTAATTGCATGCCTTACAAACTGTCCGTTATTGTTTGCTGGACATTTTTGTATTTCTATAAATATTACTGAACTTAAGCGATTTCTTAACAGTTTGGTCCACTTGGGTCTTGCTTTTAAAATTTGTTAAGTGGCATCAGAGCAGTGATCAGTCTAGGGCTAATTCCCTACTACTATTCCCTACTACCAAGGCACACCCGTCTGTGTACTCTACCCAATGCCCCATGGATTATGAAGTTTTCCAGCCTGACTGGTGGAAACAGTCACTATTTCTGACCCTAACTTATCTCTGGGAATCTTTAAAACCCTTTCGGTCTCCTCAGACAACACGATACTCAGTATTCAGCCGAATACTTGAGAAAACTCTGCAGAACTCCGAGTTCTCTCCCTGAGCAACTCGCTCCTTTCTCCTATACGCTGCAGAAAACATTACCTGCCTTGGTGTCCTCAGACCTTTAGCTCCATCCTGTCAACGCAGGAAATCCGCTGTGCTCTGCCTGGGTTCTTTCTCCCTGCACTGCATCCTGGAAAATCTTTAAAGGCAGTAAGCTTTTTGAGCTGATATCATTTGCTCCCTGTATCTCCAGGATCACTGTTCCTCGTTACTGATGCCAAGTGTCTCGGCAGACAGACTCAGTGTTCTCTTACCGCAGTACAACTCTTTTTAAATAAAGTTAATCCTGAGAGCTTTCCCTAAGCCCAAATCTCAGTGCAATACTTTTCCCTCTGCCGCGTAGACTGAGACGAACTCGGCCTCCAACCGCCGAGCGAGTTCAAGCCGGATCTCCAGTTTCCAGCACCGCCTATACGCTACTGCGCAGGCGCAGAACTTCTGCGCGCTCGCTTAGCCCAGCCATAACTGCGCCTGCGCCAAACAGCGGGGCGAGCCATCGCGCGAATACGTACTTGCCAATGAGAGCGGACGATCAGCCTTGATTCCCGCCCACTGACCAAGCAGCCAATCACCTGCCCCGGCGCGCAATCCGTGATGGATCCAAAGAGGACAGAGGGTTTGCGGTAGGGTACAGCTGAAGCGCGGCGCGGGGAAGCATGGAGGTGGCGGAGACCAAGGCGGAGGCTGCAGCCTTAGAGTAAGTGTCTGCCACCAGGTGGCAGCCAGGGGCGGGCTGGGACGGACCCTGCGGGCCCCCACGTACGATCGGTGATCTCCTCCACCCCGTACAGTTGTTCGGGTTCGACTGCGCCGTGATGTGATCCTGACCCCAGTCCCCCAGTCGTAGGTTCCTGGGGTAACTGTTGCCTCTCTTCGGGAGTACGGCCTGTGAGGGACTGTCTGTCGCTGCTCACGTATGCACACTCCCCAGGGGTGTGTCCTGAAAGGGGACGGCTCCATTTCTGTCAACCCTCCACATCTCCGCGGATTGCACCGTCCTAACAGGAGACTTTCCACTTCCAGGAGACGTCCTGGAAGGGCCATTTAATTCTGTCTCCCCCGTCCCAACACACATTCTCACACATTTTCTGGGTTATTTTATCCCCATCCCTGCCTCTTAGTGGGCCGGTCCAGGCCCTAACAAGGAAGAACTCAGAGAGCCTAGACCAAGGCATCCAGCCCCCTGTCCTGAGCCCCTTCTCAAGTATTCTGAGACTCTTTTCTGGCCCAAGGCTAGTGTTCTCTGCCTGGAGGGCTCCCCACTGCTCGTCAGAATTTTGCCCTTATTCTTTCCTTTCCCTGTATATTTCCCTGACTGACTTCAGATCTTGACTCAAATGGTTTCTCTTCAGAGACACTCCCTGTTTAAAATGCAGTCCCTTCCCCACACTCCTTATTCCCCTTGCTCTGCTAATTTTTCCTCATGGCACTTATTGCCTCCGTATATCCCCATACACATACCATTCCTGGTCCCAGATGGCACTTCAGTGTGTAAATACTGGTAGATACTGGTCAGGGCAACTGTTAATAGATACAGGTAGATACTGGTCAAGGCTCAGCGTTAATACACACATCCACATATGTGTGTGCACACAAGTTCTCCAGAACTGGCACCCCAGGAGTCTGCAGTTTCCCCTGTTGCCTTTTGCCCCTTCAGGGCCCTGGCAGAGGTGGCAGACATCCTGGAGCCAAGAGGCCTGCAGGAGGAGGCGGAACTGCCTGCCCAGATCCTGGCTGAGTTTGTGATGGTATGTGCAAGATGGGAGCCTCCTCCTGTTGAGATACTGGGCAGCATTGATGGTGAGCAGACTGGAAGGTAGCCTTGTTGGCCTATAGCACAGAAAGGTAAGGATGTTCCCTGCTTCTACCTTCCCTCTGAGCAGGACTCCCGGAAGAAAGACAAGCTGCTCTGCAGCCAGCTTCAGGTGGTAGACTTCCTGCAGAACTTCTTGGCTCAGGAGGACATTGCCCGGGGCCTGGACCCCTTGGTTTCTGAAGACACGAGCCGTAAGTAGCCAGGGGGTTGGGCTGGGGCGGCCCTGAGTGAGGAAGGAAAGGGGATGTCAGTCAGGTCAGCTGTTTGGCTGATGGCAAGACTGAGGCCTCAGTGTTGCAGGCAGGTAGGCCAGCTTCACTTATGCCCTCATTCTTGGTGGCTCATCTCAGGGCAGAAGGCAATTGCAGCCAAAGAGCAATGGAAAGAGCTGAAGGCCACCTACCAAGAGCACGTGGAGGCCATCACAAGTGCCCTGACTCAGGCCCTGCCCAAGGTGGAGGAGGCCCAGAGGAAGCGGGCACAGCTCCAGGAGGCCCTTGAACAACTCCAGGCCAAGGTGAACCCAGGGTGAGGGGAGGGAAGGGCAGGCAGAGAAGAAGAGGGAAAGGGTGAGCGTGCTGGCTTGGACCCAGTGGCTGCCTCCCAAAATCCAACCAGAAAAATACACTCCTCTACTTGTCTCCCTCCTTTGCTTACCTGCAGAAGCAAGTGGCCATGGAGAAACTCAGAATAGCCCAGAAGCAGTGGCAGCTGCAACAGGTAGGTCCATCCTCCTAGGAAAATATCTATTCCCGCCACCATGCGATTCCATGGGCTAAGTCCTCTACCTGGAAAAATCTTTATCTCATTTCCTCCTGTCAGGCATTATAGTACAGCTACCAACATGGGCTTGAATTCCGGCATCACCACTTCCCACTGCATGACCTTGAGCAGTCATCTAACTTTCTGTGCTTCTATTTCTTCATCTGTGAAATGGAGGAAATATTAGCATCTACTCTACGAGAGTTGTTAAGATGGTTAAGTAATTAGTACAGCAAGGGCTTAAAATAATGCCTGGCACATAGCAAACTAAATAAATGTTATCATCATCTTGGTTATCATCATCTAAGACCTCAGCATCTCAGGAGCCATGTCTACATTCTCATTCCTGGTAGGAGAAGCATCTGCAGCATCTGGTGGAGGTTTCTGCAGAGGTGAGGGAGCGTCAGACAGGAATGCAACAGGAGCTTGAGCGGCTGTATCAGGAACTGGGAACCCTGAAGCAAGAGGCAGGGCAGGAGCGAGACAAGCTGCAGAGGTGAGGCTGGGAGCATAGGCTGCAGACCCGGGGTGGTCCAGCTGAGGTTCCCTCCGTTCACACCCACCTCCTCCTCCTTCCAGGCACCAGACCTTCCTCCAGCTGCTAAACACCCTGCAGGGTAAGCTGCTCTTCCCTGAGGCAGAGGCAGAACTGCCACAAGAGCTGGATCTTCCTGAGCGTAAGCCCCAGCAGCTGACTCAGCCCCACGAGCATAACACTGGGGACACCATGGGGAGAGATGAGGATGTGTCCTCCAAGGTGAATGAGAGAGGAGACAGATGGGCAGGGAGGTGGAGAGAAAAGCTGAGAGATAGGCCTTATCCGTTGCCCATACCATGTCTCCCCAAGGCCAGCGGCCCACAGCCTGCTAGGGATGCAAGCGTGCCACAGCTTCCTATGAGACAGCAACATGAGGAAGGATCCTAGGGCAGGTCAGACTCCAGCTCAGGCCCTGGCGTCCCTGGATACAGGTATGGAAGAAGGGAGGGCCTCTCGTCTACTTGTCTCTGTGTCTGAGCTCTGCTGCTCATGGAGGGGGTGGGTGGTGGGAAGGAGCAAGGAGTTTATCTTATGATTGAAGCTTAGCACCTTATCCCCATGCCCAGCCTGTCCTGGGCTAACCCCTCTCTTCCTCTTCTCCACCGCCTGGCCCTACCCTCATTGCAGGATGAACTGTGAGTTCCTGAATACAGCCTGATTTTGACTACAACCCAGGTTGGGGCAGGCTCTGGATTCTGTTGATTAAAAGCTCTGGAGCTCTCTCAGTTGCTTGTTTGTCTGTTCATCTTCATGTATTGGTGGGAAGAGCCATATTCAAAGGCTAAGAACATGACGGGTGCTGGGACTGTTGTGAATAGAGAGGGTGCAGATGGGGAGGGGGCCCTGGCCAACCTCAGGGGTTGCTTGCCCTAATTGTTATGAAGCAAACATGCTGAGCTTAATTCAGGGAGGAGGAGAATGCTTTATGCAGGTGGCTAGATATGGGAAGATAATTTTCATCACTGATCCAAATGTTTATTGAATCCCTGCTTTGTACCAGGCCCCTTGCTGTGAACTGGAGGTACAGCTGTGGGCTTGTCTGACCAGTCCCTGGCCATGTGGAACATGGAACATAATGAACATGAATAAGTAAACAGGTCCGTAAGGTGATTTCAGAGTGTAGTAAAATAGCGTAGCAAACTATAACAGTAATATGATAAAGAGCAATAGTGAGAGAATATAGAGACCCCTCTCTGACTGTGTTGGCCTGCATCTCTGTGAGTTAGTATTTCTGTTTGTGGGTGTATATGTATATGTATATGTGTGTGCGTGTGTATTTCTCTGTCTGTGTTTGTTGCTTTCAGTCTCCGTTCCTCTGTGTGTCTGTTGCTGGGTGTGTGGGCAGTGTGGGGGACTGCTGTGTGTGAGAGGGAGATTGCATCCCTGATTGGGAGTGTGGAAACTGCTGTCTAAGAGAGAAGGAGAGAGATCAATATCAACTCTTAGAGAGTGGAAAACCCATTCTCCATATGAGAGAGCGACCTTCATGTGTGAGAAAGATCTAAACATCTCTATGAGAAAGAGACACTGAGGCCCTTTGCTTTTGGTGAGAGTTTCAAGGGACATTAGTCCCTGTTCTCAGGAACTAGGATGTCTCAAACTGGAATGCCTTCTCTCAGGTGGAGATTGAGATCCCTGTGCACTCTGATGGTTTGCTCTACTTTTCTGAGGTGTCCCTTGTTTTCTCTCCAATTGTTTTTCTAAATGTGTGGCCCCATTTTTTAGTTATGAAATAGGACAGATATCAGAGGTCTTTGAGGGCCTGCATCACGACTGACCAAGGGGGTCGATGAGGATTGACAGTACTCCACTAGGGAGCACATAAATACTCAGAGAGGCTTCCTCAGTCTACCCGTCCCATCCCTTCCCACGTGGTCCCTGCTGTAGCCTTTTAGCAACCCAGCTATGCAGTCCCTTCCTTCTCGCTCTTCCTACTGGGTGGGCTCCCCTACCCCTGGTTTCTTTTCTAGTCTCAAATACTCCAAAAAAGAATATATATATCCACCCTGGGAAAGGAGTGTCTACTAAGGGACCCTGGGGAATGGGTTGGGTTGGTGTGGACTTTCCTGGTCTTTGCACACATGGTGGCTGACAGAAAGTCAGGGAAGGGAAGACACTCACATGGAGCCCACCAGGCTGGGCATGAAGGATAATATCCTGAGATAACTCCAAGCCAGGGGACAGGGGGAGGAGATTGGGCAAATACATGTTAATCAAAGTTAGAGGTCTGCAAAACTGCTGGGAACCAGATTTCTCTCGAGTATGGAATGAGTCAGTCAATACTGAGGTCAAATGGAAGGGGAGACTTGAGTATTTACTATATTCAAATCCCCCGAATTGCCCAGTATGGCTGGAGCCTTGAGTTGTCCAGAAGCTTCTTGACTGACAAGGTCAGGAATTGGGACTTATTTTCAGATAGAAGTCGGATTTCAGTTTTCAGCTGTTCTCAGCCCTCTCTCAGGCTCCCCTAAAGACTATCTTTGTTGACTGATACTTGCACAAGGTAGATGTGTGCAAGGAGGGAACCTACCTCTTGGAAATTGTGATCTCTTACACAAAGAAATGGAGACTTATGAGTCGACAGTGACTTCTGAAAAGTCACTGCCTTCCGAAGATTTTCTCTTCCTCTTTTCCATCCAAAGGAGGGACACAGAAACCAGGGAAGAGTAGAGAGGGATGGGCACTAGGTAGTGAATCAGCACAGTCAAGACACTGTTACTCTACCTTGACCAGAAAAAGTCCTCTCCTTTGATAACTTGAAGTGAAGATTATGCTTACTCCATTAAACTAATAGGAAAACTTTTTTTTTCCATTTTCTGTAAGAATAATGTTTCACTTTTAAAAGATAATAGTTTTCTTTTATGGTGAAACATTATTTTGCTTATTTTTTTCTTCTTTCAGTTTCATATTTTCTAAGTACTGTCATTTTTCTAGGAATTTTTTATTTCTAATTATTTAAGTTTATTAGTATGAAGTAGTCATATCTTTTTTATCCTTTAAATATCTGCAGCCTGTTTTAGGATGCCATAATTTTATAGTCCTGATTTTTTTTTGTGCCTTATATAACTTTTGAATTGATCCGTCTTTTCAGATGTTCATTCATTTTCAAATATTCAAAGATTGGCTTTTGTGATCTGCTGTCGTATGTTTGTTCTGGTTCATTAACTTGTAGTCATATCTTTATCATTTCCTACCTTCTGTTTTTAGGTGAAGAAAATGTACTTTTTTTGTAAACTCTCTATTTTCATCAGATGATAAACTTGTGTATTTGGATCTTTGCTTTCTCAAATAAACTTCTAAGGGTATAAATTTCTTCTGGCTTCCTCTAAGTATTTTCACAGTCATTTAATTCATAGAATTTTCTGTTTTCCATTATAATTATTTCTTTGATTCATGAGTTCCTTAGGAAAATAATTTTGAAATTTCTACTCTGTTTGTGGGAGGATAATCTTTCTAAGTTTATTCTAATTTGGTCAGAAATATTGTGTATATAATAAAAACTTTGAAATTTGGTGAGGGAAACAGTTATAGCCTTTGAGTGTGGTCTGTTTTTTTTTTTTTTAATGTTTTAGTGGATTTAAAAAGAATGTCTGCTTTAGAGTTGTGTGTAGTATTTTCTATATGTCTATTAGAATATGTATGTTATTTTTTTCAGCTTATATCTTCTATATAATATGTTTAATTTTTTGTTTTCTGAATATTACCTTCTGAGAGAGATGCACTCCAGTCTCCAAATATGTGGATTTCTTTATTTCTGTTTATAATTCTGTTAAATTTTGCTTTACATGCTCTGTGGCTACTTTATTAATATACATATAAGTTTACACTTACTATATCTTTCCTCTAAACTGAACTTTTACTATTGTGTAGTGGGCTGCTTCATTTTTATGCTAGTGTTTTTTAGCCTTGAAATCTAATAGTTTTAATGTTAATATAACTTTGCCAACTCTCTTTTGTTTATCCTTTGCCTGGTATGTCTTTCCTACAACCTTTTGAGTTTCAACCTTTCTTTATCCTTATGTTTATTACTTATATACCACATTTAAAGGGCTGTTTTTAAAAATCCAGTTTCATAATCTTTGTCTTTAAGATTTTGTATTTGTGTCAATTTTTTTATTCCCTCTCTCTTGTTTTTTTATTTATTCCTTTCTTGCCTTTTGGTTTTATTTGTTTATTTTTTTTATCTTTTTGTTTTCATTCGTTTTATCCTTTTTCTGCTTTGGAAGCTCTTCACTGTTTATTATGCCATTTTAGCTTTCAGAGTTAATGAATTCTAAAATTAAGACTAAAATTTCTTGATCCTTTTCTTAAACAAGTAATGAAGCTTGGAAGGCTTTACCATTGATGGATCATCCCACTCTTAGCTAATAAGGTATTTTTGTCCAGTTTATTACTTCTCATCTGTTTGTGTTCTCACAAATTAGACGACTTATTTTATACAATGTTTTGTTTATATTTACTTATGATTTTTTTGCCTACTTAATTTTTATATGTCAGAGCTTTCATATGGGATAATTTCCCCATCTGAATCAGAATTTCCTTTAGTTAGAATCTGTAGGCTATATAATACTTCAGTTTTTCTTAGTATGAAGTGTTTTTATTTCATTCTCATTCTTGAAAGATATTTTCATTATGTAGAGAATGCTTAGTGGATAGGTATTTCTCTTAAATTGTTGAAGATGTTTTCCCATGGTTATCTGGCTTTCATTGTTGCTAATGAGAAGTCAGCTGCCAGTTTAAAAAGCTCTTTCTACACCTTTTCTTTTACCCACTGGCTACTAATAAAATCCTCTATCTTTGGTACTCTATAGCTTTACTATGTTATGAATAATTTGGGATTCTGGTTTGTTTATTTATTCATTTATTCTGCTTGCAGTTAGTTGGTCTTTCTAAATCTGAAATTGCTGGTCTTTCAACAATTCTGGAGTATTTTCAGCCTTATCTCTTTAAAAAGTACTCTTACCTCTTCTATATTAGCTTCTTCTGAGATACCAGTTGGACATCAGATTTTCTCACTTTGTTCTTCATGCTATATAAACTTTCTTTTGTATTTACTGTTATTTTTTTCTCTCTAGAATGCATTTAGATACTTTCATTAAATCTATTTTATTAACTATGTGTTGCCAATCTATTGTTTAATCATTAGTATTTTCTTTTTTGTTTTTCATTTCAAGCAGTTATATTAGACCCCGATCTACTTTATTTGGATTTTTTTGTTGTTATTCTAGCTCACATTTTGAGCTTATCTTTTTATTACCTTAAATATAACATATGTAGGCCTTTTGTCATCTGTGTTGGAAAGGTTCATAATTTACATCTTTGTGGGCCTGTATCTTTTGCCTATATCACATACCCCCTGTATCCTTGTATGGTTTGTGTAGTTTTAC